ATCACGCCACTGCACTCCAGCACTCCAGCCTGGGCGACAGAGCAAGACTCCATCTCAAAACAAAAAAAAAAAACAAAAAACAAAAACAAAACCTAGATGATGGGTTGATAGGTGCAGCAAACCACCATGGCACATGCATACTTATGTAACAAACCTGCACATTCTGCACATGTATCCCAGAATCTAAAGAAACATTTAAAAATAAAATTAAAAAGACAAGTACATGTTGTTGTCATGCATGTCCATGTGAAGAGACCACCAAACAGGCTTTGTGTGAGCAATAAAGCTTTTAATCACCTGGGTGCAGGCGGGCTAAGTCCAGTCCGAAAAGGGAGTCAGCGAAGGGAGATAAGGGTAGGGCCGTTTTATAGGATTTGGGTAGGTAAAGGAAAATTATAGTCAAAGGGGGTTTGTTCTCTGGTGGGCAGGGGTGGGGGTCACAAGGTGCTCAGTGGGGGAGCTTTTTGAGCCAGGATGACCCAGGAAGAGGAATTTCACAAGATAATGTCATCGCTTAAGGCAAGGACCGGCCATTTTCACTTCTTTTGTGGTGGAATGTCATCGGTTAAGGCGGGGCAGGGCATTTTCACTTCTTTTGTGATTCTTCAGTTACTTCAGGCCATCTGGGCGTGTATATATATGTGCAAGTCACAGGGGATGCGATGGCTTGGCTTGGGCTCAGAGGCCTGACCATTGTTTTATAAGCCCCCAAGAATTTAAAGGGAAGTATTGGCTCTCAAGCTATTCAATCATGTATACAGAGAAGTTATCTAAGAAATCCTTGAGGTGTCATCTATATATGCTGATATTTTAAACTTCACCTTTGGTTATTCTGTTCCTGAGAAGAGTTAGAGAATAGTTAGCTTTTTCCTCAAAAAACAAATTCCTGAGAGATTGTAAAAAAGCCTATCTAAAGATGTTTGTTAGTGATATGTAGCGCTAAAGCAGTTTGCTGTCATTTTTGGTGGTCTTTTCAACTGTTTACTAGGATTAAGATATTGAACGTGGTCTCCGGTGGATCTCTAGAGTAGGGAAATGATTGTTGCTGAGTACTTATCATGTCATATAACACTTGGGTGTCATGAAATGATACCAGCGAGGGGTTTGTTACAGTCTGGCAAAATTTATCCTTGTAAAGATTCAAAGCTGGAAAGATTACCAGGTGTATCTGGTAGCTGGTGGGCTAAAGAGGAGCTCTTTATAGGGTGTGCCTTAAGGTCAGGCCTATTGGATTGTATATTTGTACACAGAACCTGCAGAGATTAGTCCTTACCTCAGGCAGTTCATGATTCCACTCTAGAGAGAGGCTTTTGTCACTTATTTGTCTCAGACCCTTGTCCTTGTTTTGCAAATGCAACCATGATATCTTAGCAGAGAGGTGAAACTATACACTTCCTTATCTAATTCATTTGTGCATTATTGGCATTCCTGTTTAGGATGGATGTATTACCATTCTCTTTCATTCGAATTCACTTGGAAGTAAAGTTTATCCCTGATGGGAGACCCCTTTTTAGATTACACGTACTTACCCCTGACCAGTAACTGTCTCCCGGTAGTCCTGTGCACTGCTCGGCTTGAGACTGAATTCTTATGCTTTTCATGACTCCTTTGGATGAATCTAGATCCATTCCCAGAGAGCAGTGTCAGCTTTCCCTCAGGGCTGTGTGGGGGAGGTAGAGATGCTGGAACAAAACTGCGAACCTCTTAGGGAGGTAAAAGAGAGGAATGCATACTTGATAGCCAATAGTGTCAAGTACAGTTATGTTCTTGCAGTTTCCAAGGTCATTTTTTTTTTTTTTTTTTTACTTCTCAAGTATAAAAGTACTCTCAGCCTTTTTTAAGGCCTTAAATACAACAATGATCCTTTAAAAATTTATTCCTCCAAATTGTACTCTTCCCCCCTTCTCCCATAAGAGCTTGTTGAAACAGACATCACACCTGGCTCTTCCAAATATGCTTAGCACTTAGCACAGGTGCTGGACATCATAGGCACAGAATGAATATTTACAGAATAAATACATAAACAAACATAACTTGTTCTCTGAAATCCCCTGGGATTCAAGAACCTCGGACTTTGTGTAGAGTAAAACAAAACAAAAATCCAGATCTCCAAGAGTCTTGAGAAAAATCTCCCTGTAACAGTGATGCCTCTTTTTCTCTCCTGTTTTAGTGTTGGCATTTTGCTTTGATTTTATTTTATAAAGTTTATGACTACCTTAAGTAGCATTAAAATTCTACTTTTTAGTTTCATGTAACAGGGTGACTACGTTTTGTTTTTTAAGTTGTTAACATACCATAATGTAAAGGTGTTTACCATATTTTTTACTAGATTGCTGATTTTCTGTTTTAACTCCCTAAGTCTTTCTTTTCTGCCCACTACCAGGATAAGCAGGAAGAAAAGGATGTTGAAAACTGAGAATGCATTTTAACAGGTCTCGTGTGTACTTTCTGCTAAGTGTTTCTCAAACCATCATTATGATGGGTTAACTTCATTAGACCCGTTTAAAAGGTGAATTTATAAAGTTCAGAGGCAAGTGATTTTTCTAACATCTTTGTATTAGTTATCTATTGCTGCTGTGACAAATTACCACAAACTTAGTGGCTTAAAATGCAAATTTGTAATCTCCCAATGGGTTCTTCTTGCTGCACAAATAAAACCAATTCACTGAGACAGTTGTATTGCAGTTGAGAAAGAATTTAATTAATGCAGGGCCAGCTAGCCAAGTGGCAGACGAGAGTTTATTACTCCCATCAGCCTCTGGGTGGGGGCCACAGGACCAGTGGAGTCATGAGTCATCATGGGTCCAGGTAGAGTCAGTTGGTCACCAGAATGCAAAAGTCTGGAAAACATCTCAAAAGACAAATCTTAGGTTCTGCGATACTGATGTTATATGACGATGATGACGATACAGGAGCAATTGGGGAAGTTACAAACCTTGTGACCTCTGGTCACATGACTCCTGGGCAATAAAGGAATTGTAGAAACATAAGCTGGGGGACAATGGCTGGTTGTCCTTTAACTATGCCTATGTCTTAGCAGAATTCAGGCCTCTCCCAAAATTCTAATATTGTGGCCTTTCATTAGTCTTACAAAGGTGGTTTTCATCCCCCAACAGGGAGCAGACCAGTTTTATGGAGGGACTGTTATCATCCTTGCTTCAAAGTTAACCTAAACTAAAGGCCAAGGCAGGCAGATTACCTGAGGTCAGGAGTTGGAGATAAGCCTGGACAACTTCGTGAGACCGCATCTCTCTAAAAATACAGAAATAAGCCGGGTGTGGTGGTGCACTTCTGTAGTCTCAGTTACTTCAGAGACTGAGGCAGGAGAGTCACTTGAACCTGGAAGGCAGAGGTTGCGGTGAGCCAAGATAGTGTCATTGCACTCCAAGGTGCAAAGCGAGACTCTGTCTCAAAAAAAGAAACAAACAAAAAATAAAAAATAAACAAAATTAAACTAACCTAAATTCCTCCCATGGGTAGCCTGGCCTATGCCTAGGAGTGAGCAATTACAGCCAGCCTGTGAGGCTAGAAGCAAGATAGAGTCAGCCAGGCTAGACTTCTTCTCTTTCATAATCTTTGCAAAAGCAGTTTCAGATTTATTCTCTTATAGGTCAGAAGTCCAAAGTGGATCTTATTTAGCCAAAATGAAGGTGTCAGCTGCGTGGTATTTCTTCTGGAGGCTGGAGGGAAGAATCTGACTCCTTGCTTTCTTCCAGCTCCTAGAGGCTGCTATCCAGATTCCTTGACTCATGGCTACTCTCTCCATCATCAAAGCCAGCAGCTTAGCATCTTCAAATGGTTCTCTGACCTTGACCATTCTGCCTCCTCCTTCCATTTCTAAAAAAAAAAAAAAAAAAAAAAAAAAAATCCTTGTGATTAGGTTGAGCCCACCCAGAAAATCTAGACTAATCTCCCCACCTCAAGATTATTAATTTGAGGCTGGGAAGGAGAGGGGATAAAGAGAGGTTGTTTAATGCATACAAATACACAATTAGAAGATATAAGTTATAGTGTTCGACAGCACAGTAGGGTGACTACAGTTAAGAATAAGTTATTGTCGGGCCGGGCGTGGTGGCTTACATCTGTAATCCCAGCACTTTGGGAGGCTGAGGTGGGTGGATCACCTGAGGTCGGGAGTTCAAGACCAGCCTGACCAACATGGAGAAACCCCATGTCTACTAAAAATACAACATTAGCTGGGTGTGGTGGCACATGCCTGTAATCCCAGTTACTCGGTAGGCTGAGGCAGGAGAATCACTTAAACCCGGGAGGCAGAGGTTGTGGTGAGCTGGGATCATGCCATTGCACTCCCTAGGCAACAAGAGCGAAACTCTGTCTCAAAAAACAAAAAAAAAAAGAAGAAGTTATTGTGTATTTCAGAATAGCTAGAAAATATCTGAAATGTTCCCAGCACAAAGAAATGATAAGTGTTTGAGGTGACAGACATCTGAAGTACCCTGACTGATCACTATGTGTTGTATGTATGGATGAAAATATTACATGTGCCTCATAATGTGTACAATCATTATGTATCAATGCAAATTTGAAAATAGAAAGATCACTAATTGCATATTTGAAGTCTCTTTTGCCCTGTAAGGTAATATATTCAGTTCTAGGATTTAGGACATCGAAATCTTTGAGGGAAGCATTACTCTCCCTATTGCAGAGACCCATATAATGTCCTAACAGAGTTGACTTTCTCCACGTTTCTAGCTTTCTGCATATACAAGAAAAAGTTTTTGGCTTTTTTTTGGTGTGTCTTCTCCTGGTACTTCTGTCTTGGATATAACTTATTTGATTTTACAAAAATATCACAGCCTCTGTGTTTGTTTGAATAAACTGAGGTTGAAAAAGTGTTCAGTGACAGTAACGATACCTTAATAACATAACGGGAGAGGAGGCAGCGTCTTGGCAATTGAGACCTGTGAGTTTTGGACAGAGATGTTTAAAACTTGACATACTGCATGAACTCACAGAGTCCTCTAACTTTTGTCTTTTAGGCTTATGTACAGAAGTACGTCGTGAAGAATTATTTCTACTATTACCTATTCCAAATTTCAGCTGCTTTGGGCCAAGAAGTGTTCTACATCACGTTTCTTCCATTCACTCACTGGAATATTGACCCTTATTTATCCAGAAGGTTGATCATCATATGGGTTGTAAGTATTACCACTACTCATTAACTGATGCTTAATGACTGCTTCCTTTGATATTCAAGTACTTTGCAAATATGTTTTTTGTTTGTTTGTTTTGTTTTGTTTTGTTTTACCACTTAGAGTTGGATTTGTCGCCTAATTTACTTTGGAAAAATTCGGAACACAACTTGTGTTCCCTGAGCAGTAAGGGAATTGTAGCAAGGCAAGCTGGGGGACAGTGGCTGGTTGTCCTTTGTGCCTACCTCTTCGCAGAATTCAGGCCTTTTCCAAAATTCTAATCTTGTGGCCTTTCCTTAGTCTTACAAAGGCGGTTTTCATCCCCCAGCAGGGAGAGGACCAGTTTTAGGGAGGAACTATTATCATCCTTGCTTCAAAGTTAACCTAAACTAAAGGCCGGGTGGGCGGATCACCTGAGGTCAGGTGCCCCCCAGGTTCAAGCGATTCTTCTGCCTCAGCCTCCCGAGTAGCTGGGACTACAGACGTGCACCACCACGCCCGGTTATTTTTGTATTTTTAGTAGAGACGGGGTTTTGCCATCTTGGCCAGGCTTATCTCTTACTGTTCTGAAAACAACATGTTTTATCTGCAAAAACCAAACCTGTGATTTTGTGTACCTTGAGATATACTTTCCCAAGGGTAGATCAAAGTAGGAGAGGGCGTAAGTGATGACCAGAGAAGAAAGGACCTTTCTAAGGACCCACAGAGGGGTATGAAATGCATCCTCACAAGAGGCCTATTTTAGTAAAATTTGATCAGAAACTAAAATCAGAAGCTGTTGAGCAATACCTCCAAGCAGTATTAAGTGACCATACACATAGGAGAGGCCAAAACACATAAGGCAAAGCACCTTCCTTGAGGGAACGTCTAGTGCAGCAGGAGCAGCTGCAAATACACAGAAACCATGTGACAATCCCAGGTAGACAGGCAGAGCCTTTTTCTGCTGTTTCACTGGTAACCCTAGCATTTAATTTTGTTCAGGGCCAGATGAGTTCTGATTTTGTGTCTCATTGAAGGAGATGGTAGACATTTGGAAGGCGGCAAGGCATATGCAAGATATGCAAGATATGTAGGTTTGGTATCAGAGAGACCTGAGCTCGAGTACAGTCCAGGCCCCATCTGTGTGCCCTTGCTCTGAGCCTTACCTTCCTCATTTGTAAAATTGTGTGAATAATGTGCCTTCCCGGAATCATCGTGGGGATATCTAGAGTGTACACAGAGCTCTAGGCCTGGCATGTGGAGGACTCTGCAGGTCGCTATTTGAGCATGATAACGCGTAGTGACTAGTGCATGAAGGTGAAGGAGTCTTGAAGATCAACCAATTCTAAGGTCGAAGGTTGTTTAGCTGGTGGAGGGAACTTCCAGACAAGACTGTTTCCCCGACTCAAGATTCTGCACTAGAAATAGAGGTTCCGAAGCACTTGGTTGGGTATAAAAGAGAAGATTTCAGCAAGTGACTTTCCTATGGTGGGCTTTATGTTTTCTCATTTGTGGAACAAGTAGAGTGGAGTTCATCAGGGCTCATAAATTTGAATGTTCTCAGGGGCAGGGGACAGAAATAAAGCAACAATGTCCTGGGTCAGGGTGAGGGGTGGCAAGGGCGCAGTATCCACACAAACCCTTCGCCACGTGGTGACAGAGGGACTAGGGAGCAACTGCCCCTGGCTCCACGTGGGACTCCCCATCCCTGTCTCCCCATAGCCCTCTTTTGAAATCTAGCTTCTGTCTAAAAGTGTAATGTGAGAGTCTGCAAAAGCATAGGCATCTTGCAGATCATAAAGAGAACGTTAGTCCAGTTGTCCCTCCCGTTTCTGAGGCCACTTCTGTGTCCACAGAGCAGGCAGGATGGGGGCAGGAGAGAGAGAATGGGAGTGGTCCTTCTGTTCTTAAGATCTGAAAACCCGTGGAAAACCCATGGGCTTGAGTATCTTTCCCACTGCCATTTATTTTCTAAGATGTGTGTGTGTGTGCATGTGTGTGCGTGTGTAAAGTATAAGTGTGTATATATGTATGTGTGTGTATATAGGTGTGTATATGTGTGTACATACATATATAGGTGTGTATATATGTGTATGTGTGTATATAGATGTGTGTATATCTGTGTGTGTATATAGGTGTGTGTATATGTGTATGTGTGTATATAGGTGTGTATATATGTGTATGTGTGTATATGTGTGTGTGCATAGGTGCATATATATGTTTATGTGTATAGGTAGGTGTATGTGTGTATAGGTATGTATATGTGTGTATGGTGATGTGTATATATGTGTGTGTATGTATATAGGTGTGTATATATGTGTATATATATGTATATAGGTGTGTATGTGTGTATAGGTGTGTATGTGTGTGTATATATGTGTGTTTATGTGCATGCATGTATATAGGTGTGTATATGTGTGTTTATAGATGTGTATATGTGTGTATAAATTGTGTATATATGTTATAGATGTGTATATGTGTGTGTATAGGTGTGTATATATGTGTGTAGGTATGTATATATGTGTGAATATATGTATATATGTGTGTATATGTGTGTGTTTATAGGTGTGTATATGTGTGAGTGTATGTATACAGGTGTATGTGTGTGTGTGTGTCTGTGTGTGTGTGTGTGTGTGTGTGTTCTAAATCCCAAAACCTTAATAATGGTTGAGTGGGGCAGATGATGAGAAGTACATTACGCAGGAATACCTTATAATGTTTTTGATCTGCTCATGGCCGATTATCTCCCCCACTGAGGGCGGAAAACTTTCCCTGAGAGCTGGGAAGACCTCTAGACTCCATAGAAGGCTGTGGTTAGGGGACTCTGGTTGCCATTATTGGTGGTTATTTTATGCTTTGTATTCCTCATTTCAAAGTGTCAGAGTGCCTGTTTGAGGCAAAATGACAAGCTTTTGTCATAGAGTGAGGCAAATAAAATCTTTGCCCGAGAAAGGAAGAAATAACCTCTGAATCTGCAGTTTGTCCTGAGGTTTGGCCACCTGTTTCTTGACTTTTTAAAATGGGTGCATGGCCTGGTTCACCAGTCCCCCTGTGCTGAGAGTTCTGTAGTTACTCTGTGTGGTCATTGTAAGGCAGTGTGAGAAGCCTAATGTAGTGTGAGAAGCAGTGTGAGAAGCTGAGGTAGTGTGTGCATTCCTGCCAGTGCCTGGGATGAGAGTGGAGGTCATTCCAAGGGAAGAGAGGAAGAGAGGAAGGGAGGGAGGGGGAGAGGGAGGTGCAGGTGTGCTTGCGTGTGTGCATCTGCGTGTGTGTGCATGTATTTGTGTGTGTGTGTGTGTATGTAGGCGTGTTAGGATTAGGGGTGCTCTCTGATGGGCTACAGAGACAATAATGAGAGATACTTGGTTTGGCTCCAGAGTTGAAGGTAGATGAAAGGAAGGGCAAGTCCCTTAAGTGGGGGCGAGGTTGGGAGCCTGGGGTGGATTAGGGTTAGGTTCTGGTACTTGGGCCAGCCAGGGCAATCAGCTTCCTGCTGAGGCAGTCTTTCTTCAGTAAAGGATATCCCTATATTAGTGGCTGCTTCTTCAAAGGGGTAGGGATTAAGAACTGTTAATTACATAAGGGACAGAGCTGGAAGTCTTGTATTGAACATCTTATCTCACCCAAAACTCATTGGAAGGCAGCTTTGTTCAGGATTGCCGAAGCTTGGCACATTTTATATTAATTTGGGAATTGTCACTGGATGAAGCCCCTACAGGTTTTATTGCTTTTAAAGATCTTTTGTTACATTAAGGGTAACTCACACTGTCTGAAGTAGCTCAGCAGAATTTATGCTTGTATCAAGTTCTCTCTCCTCACAATTATAATTAGTCCTCACCTGTATTGTACATCTTCTGTTGCTTTTATAGGCATCTATGTTCATTATCTTATTTGAGCTTCATAACAATGGGCAGTATCATTTTCTAAATTGGAATAGTAATATTTCAAATATTGATAAGCCATACCCTATATTGAGTATTTAGTATATATGCCATTCACTGTCAGAATGCTTTACATATTTTACTTCACTTAATCCTACCAGCGATCCTGAGAAATAGTTATCACCAACCCACTTTACAGATCCTGAAACTGAAATATAGAAAGGTTAAATAACTTGCCCAAGATCACACTGGATTAAGTGGCAAGGTGGATATGATCCTGCCCCCAGACCTTGTCTACCAGGGGAAGCTGCCATGGTTGTTTCTTAGAAGAACACAGCTAAGTGGCATAAGGAGCACAATATTTTTTTAAAGATGCTAAAACGGGGACTTCAAGCATGAAAATGATTTGTCCATAGTTTTTTTCTATTGCATATTTGTTTTGGTTTGTGTTGCATTTCTGTCCTTATGGCACTTATTAATAACCCTGTACTCTACTTAACTGTTTCTTATCTACCCTTCTTAACCCATTTATGACTAGTGTTCCTTTATTGGAACACGAAGCTTGTGGGAGTTATTTATATCCTACCGCTCAAGGTCATCGCCAAGGTCTGATTTTTCACACACAAAAATTTGCAACCTCCAGCATAAATGGGTTAACAAACCTCAACAAACCCCACAGTATGGGATAAGCTTTGGTTAAATTAGCTGAAACACATCAATCAATTCACTATTTCTCTCCTTTGTCCTGTGTCAAGGTTTTTAACCTATCTTTGGGCTCAAAAGAATTTTAGACATTTGGCCAAAAAAGATAGCAAATGGATTTTCTTATTAGGATGCTTATAAAGAGATATTGAGGATGATGTTTCAGAAGATGAGTCACTACCCCATGGCGTGATTATCTAATCTCTTCACTTTCATTCTGGCATGGTGACAGATCTAACAAAAAATAAAAGCTTTAAAGTTATATTTCTGTATCTTTAAAAGGTTAGAGGCAACTTCATTGAACTTGGGTGGTGGTTAGTTTTGTAACATGAAGCAAAATGTCACTTTTTTGCTAAATTCCTCATTTCGTGAAATAGCAATGCAAACATTGATACCACAACTGATCCTGGGAGTTTAGAAGCCTCATTTTCTCTGTTCTTATGA